ATTCACTAAATACCAGCTCTGCTTCATGTTCTTTAGGGACAACTACAGTTTTGCCAAACTTGGCCTGAAAATGGGTTCCTGGCTCTGACAACAGCAAGGTTGGTGGATGCAATATTGGGGGGTTGCTCCTCTGGAACTTAAATGGAGGCTAGGGAAGCGTAGTCTCCTCTTTTTGCTTCCATTGTCTTTTGGGGTATGTTTTAAAGTTTTGGCTTTCCAGGGTTCTCCGTGTGTTCCCTCCGTTAAGACCTGAGTTAGGAATGGGCTGTCTGCTCCCTCCCTGGCAGGGTAACGTCATAGGACACAGGTTTTTCAAGGAGCGTCCATGGTTACTCTTTTTTTTTTTTCTTTTTTTTTTTTAATTAATTTTTATATGGTCATTTTTATGAACAACAATTTTGATATGTTCATAAGTGTACTTTAAGAATGCAGTATTTTGGAATGCTGCTTATTACCTGTTGATTCCCCTCAATTGACCGTGATTTTGATCTATAGACAAATTGTCTTATCCATACTGCTTTTGGAAGCATCACTCAGTAGCATCATTGTTATTCATTTGTTTCTCTTCACTGTCAGTATAGTTTTTGACCCCTCTACATAGCAGCCTTGGTTGTTATAGTGCTACTTTACCTTTTAATTTATTAAGAACTTTTTCTCTTCATCTAATTTAGTTTCACGCTGTTTTTATTGCTATAGCATAGTCATCATGTACCTCCTTGTATGTTAGCTCATCACCCCCACTGTCACAGTAGAGGGGAGGCCTTAGCATATAGAAGAATGGGGAACAATACAGTAAAGGAAAAGAGGGAAAAAATATAATAGAAAAGGATACCGAATTAACTATTTTACTACTGCCGTCATGGAGAGTGTTTGCCATCACCCTCCTGTAAATCATCTCCAGCAGCATCTGCAGTGCTTCGTGAGACTGTGTATAATGCTCCTCTTGACTTGTCATAAAACTCAATATATTAACTCTTAAAATGTGGTCATCATAAAAATTGTCACCCTGCTAATGAGCAAAAAATACAAATTATTCCTTCCAGCATTCATACAGTAAGATTTAGATGAGGGGTGGGGAATCTCTTATCTTTTGAAAACCACATTTTACTTGGTAAAAATTTTGTGAGGCCACCCATTGTATTATGCACCATATAGTACTTTCAAATACTGTATGTCACAAATAAACTTGCAGATCAAGTTTCACAAATTTAAATTGTGTTCAAGGCCGCATCGAGTACGATTAAAGACTATATGCGGTCTTAAGGTCAGATTACTCACCGCTGGTTTAGACAAACTACGGGCAAGGTGTGAGAAATCATTGTCAAGAGTTAAACCCCCAAGAAGTGTTGGGTAATGAAAATGGGGAAAAAAAAAGTGACAAAGGTCCAGAAGATATCTTCACCATATGGGGAAAGCAGCTACATATAGAGAATCATGGAGAATATATACAAAGAAACTTGAATATACAATATACGAAGGTACTGAAGAAGGCTAGTACTAGACCTGAACTAAGAGGACTTAAGTTATGAAGACAAGTTAAGAGAATTGAATATAACAACACTTAACAGGATAGAAGGAGTAGAGAGGATGTAATCACTATTCCAAGAGTGAAGATGGACAAGGATGTCATCTTTCAACTAAATAAAAATAGGACAGGAGGACATTAATTGGAGATGTGTGAATGCTCTGAATGTTTGTTGCATTTGTAGTTGTCGTTGTTGTCACCTCGATTCACAATTTCAAGAAAAAATATGCACAAAACTTGGAATTTATGATTTTAAAATTTACTACAGTACTTCCAGATGTCCAAAGAATTAAAAATAAAGATAATTATACAATTGATTTGAAGATTGCAGGATGTAATTTCCCCAGCCAATTTTTTTATTTGTACAGTACATTTATTTTAACACATTGTTAAAAATACTTGAATGGTTCCACACTTTTGTAGTGTCTCCACACTACCTGCTTATTAAGTGCTCGACTGCAAACACTCTAGGCTACTCAGGAAGGCCCCTCCTCAGGCACAGGCCTACTTAAGGCCAGCTCAAAGGCCCCTCCTCAGCAACACCTATAATGGTTATTCTCTATCTTTTTCTAAAATATGTTTTGGGTTACAACTTAAATTTGATGTCAAAATATTCACAAAGGAACATTTTAGACTATAGATGCTCAACATAAGAGAAACACCAATATGGCTGAGAACTCAGGAAAACTCCAGTCTTAAATCTACTGGAGATAAAAAACAGCCAATGTTGAATTTTGTTGAATTTTTCAATGTTAAATCTAACCATACACGGTTAACTCGCTGGTACTTAATGGAGTGCCCTGCTTCTTATTGTCTTTATGCAGGATTTCGATGCTGCCCTGCTCCTTATTGTCCAAACTGTATTGTCCCTCTTACAATCGTGCATATCTTTGTTGAATGTCCTGACTTCCAGGATGAGCGTGTCTTGCTTCCTGACCGTTTCTTGCAGTCACCTGTCCCTTGTTTGAAATCTTGGTGAATCGAATACCTTTGATATCGTTTGCCTTGGGAACTTTTGTTCTAGTATTGGCATCCTTAGTGATATTTAGTGTCTTTTGAATATCCCGCACATTTGATGGTGCTACATAGTTTCCCCCGGCTTGGTGCCTTTTTTTGATAATTACTTTCCGGTACTTACTTCAAGTTATAATAATTTGAAGTAAGAAAACGAAGAAATACAGTATAATCATAAACTATTTTAACCCTCTTGTTTTAATTTGGGGACTTTATAATGCAGTATATTTATGAAGAAATGTGTATTGTGAGGTTGCACGAGTAATTGGATTTTTTTTTCTACTATAACCTTATTATCAACTGCTTATTGTTAATTGGTTAACTGTTAACTGGCAGGCTGTTTCATGTGTTTGCTTGGTGTTGAAGTTTTGTGTCCATCAGATAGTAATTTAAACATATAAAAATACACAATTTTAAAGTATTCGTGTTATGAGTTATGCTGTAGGATATTTGTTAAACTATAATATGTATTAATATTTATTACACTTATTGTATATTTGAATTATGTAATGCCTATTTTGTTGTTGGTAGTTTTATATGTTAATATTGTAAACAATAATATGTTATTTATTATTTATTTTTGGCCTGTAGATCCTATAAGTTATTTTCCGTAAAATAGGATCACAGCAAGACAGTGGTGATGACTTTAGGTAGTAAGTTAAACTGATAAAAGTGGTGAACTGAATGTTTTTCAAGACAAAGTTAAGTGCAGTATTAGTATTGTCATTTAGTAATCTGTCTGTGATGTGTTACCAACACTAAACAAGAGATATCGAGGAATTAGATGACAAATTTGATGAAATTCGGCTTGTTTGGAAACCCTGGCTAACAGGTATGACATGTCTTTAAAACTATAGATTGCTTAATAGCCAGAGTTTCCTAAAAAGCCAAATTTGGGTAATAAAGTCATGGATTTATTTTAGAAACTGTTAACTTGTGAATTGATGGAAAATCTTTATAGAAATAGTTTTTTCATTTTAACTAAAACTAACATATTGGTAGAATATACAGAAAAAAGTTGCATAATAACAAGCAAGCAGTTTGATACTGAGATTGATTTTGAATTTGGAGCACTTAGGAGTAATAAGAAGACTCCTAGTTTAACTAAAACATTTCCTTGTTTGAAGATGAAAGCAATGATTAGAAGGCACAGATCAGACTGTAGAAGCTTCACTGTTGGGCTTAATACTGGCATTAGTAATGTTTGTTTTCATAAATGATCTTATTAAGGTCATACAAAATTGTATAAACATGTTTATAGATACAGTACTATAAAAATACTGGGATGTATAACAAACCCAGATGCCTACTGCATCCTTGTACATGATCTATATGAGATACATTTATGAAGCAGAACATGGCTAATAGAGTTTGATGTAAATAACTGCCATGTAATTAAGCTCACAATAATGGGGACTATGCTTCATGCATCTTATAAATTATGTGGCAAGGCACTAAAATAATTGAGAGTGAGTGAGTTAGGGGGTGATCGTTAATAGTAAACTGTCTACAGAGGATAACAGCCAAGCCACAGTCAGACAAGCCTGTGCAATGATGGTCAGTTTCTTAATTAGCATGAAGCATATGGATGAAGAGGTGTATAGCAAACTGTTCATGACATTGGTGACACCAAAGTTGGAATATACATCACTAGCCTGACATACATTGCTCCAAAACATACTTCTGTATAAGTAAAATAAATAGAGTTTAAAGACTCGCTGCCAAATGGCTCATTGGATTAAAGAATAAAATATGATAAAATGCTGGAATTTGAGAATATGCCAAAACAGGAAGATGGAAGGAAAGAAGATATGATAACTGCATAATAGATTATTATTATGGGACTAGAGAAAATTGATATGAATTGTTTAAATTATCTGCACCTACAATAAGAGGGGTGCTATAAAGTTTAATGTCTTAAATAAAAAAATTAATTCTGTATATGGATATGTCTGAGGTAGAAAAATTGCTATACTGTATATTCATACTGGCTTGGAGCTTTCTTTTGATAATTACCTTACCTCTAGATTAATATGTAAATCAGACGTTATTTTTTTGTTAAGATATGTTGTTATAAAATGCAGCATGAAGCAGAGGTGTACAGTACAGTACATGTTTGGTAAAATAGGTTGATGAACATCAGACATTATTGAAATTTATGCAAGATTGCTTTTTTAAAGTTGTAGTGGGCTAAATATCATTAAGAACTTTTGGAGTGATTTGCTGAGATAAATGGTTCCTTTTAACTTGCTACTTAAAGTCTCACTGTTTTACGGCACCTTGAACAAAAATCATTATCTTTCCTAAAAGAAAGTTTTTTAATTCTTCCTTGTTTATATATCATTGTTAAAATATGGTTTATGTTAAAATAAAGAGTTTATCATTTACTTGAATATTTTTGTGTACTTAAGTAATATCACAGTTATAAATGACTTATTTAAGTACTGTTGTCCTTGAGCAGAAGCACAGTGGAGTGACAGATGCAGCCATGCAGGCAGAACTTCAACGAGGTCACTCTCTCCATCGGATGGGAGCCGCATCTTCTCCAACGTCATGCCCACACGCAGGGGGCTCACCCTGCCCGCCTGGGGGGATCATGTCACCCTGCCCGCCAACACCCTTGCTTGGGGCGTCCATAGCTGGGGGCTCACCTTGCCGGTCCCCGCACCCCCAGTCTCCGAGCCCGCACCACCCCATTCCCTTGATCTCACCGACACCTTCCCCACCAGTTCCTCCAACAACACCACCATCAATACCAAGTAATTACTTCAACATGTTCTTATATATATGTGTACAGTATGTGTGTGTGTTAATTACCTAAGTGTAATTACAAGATGAGAGGTTTGCTTGTGGCATCCTGTCTTCCCTACAATCATTGTCATGTGTAAATTTTTTGGCACCTTGGTTTGCTTATCTTGAATCTATAGCCTTGAATTAAAACACCCCAGCCATTATGCACCAGACGGCCACTAGATGGTAGTCCTGGTCATCTGGGTCCCCATCAACCAGCTATGTCATTCACTGTCCTGGTGCAGCCAAAGTTGCACTTCTCTGCTGTGGCTTCTTGATTTTCGATAAATGTTGTTGGCTATCCTTGGAACATTTATTCCACACTGGGCTAATGCATTGTTTTACTCCATATACTGCTTTGTTTGTGTTTTGTGTCACTCGCCTTAAATGTGCTCTGTATTTTCCATTTCGCTACATCCATGTATCTGGGTTCTCGTCCCTGGTAATCAATCGGCTTGCGTCTCCCTTTCCCTACCAGAGTTAACCCCCTCTCCTCGGGACTCAGGTTTCCTTTTCTACAAGTTAACTTCTCTCAACTCTTTTATATTAAAGGAAAGTAAATGTTTAAGTATGTTTAATGTAAATGTTTAAGTATATTTATGAATAGCAATCTAACGACATGTTTTAGCGTCATAGAAACCTTTCCTGTCGGAGTAAAGATACGTTTTAGCATCGTCGAAAAGCACTGCTTCCTGGTGGTGAATGGATTTTCCCCACAACAAAACCTGTTGATGGGAAGTAATTGTAATTATTTGTGCTTTTGTGGTTATCATGTATGAGTCTTGCCTATTATGTGGTTGGGCCCTGCACTTTAGCTGAAATTCCTCTTGAGTCACCTAACTGATTGTTCTTACCACAGGATGCATACACATTTCCTAGATGAGTGTTAAAAGTTGAGGGTTTGGAGTTGGGTTTAGCTGAGATGCTTTCTCTATACCTGACTTACCTGCTCATCTACTCCCTCTTGGAGTCACATTTATGGCTTTCTTTGTTGTGGCAGTTTCAGGCACCTTGGTAAGCTTTACTCTGCTAGCTTTTCATGGATCATGATTTTGCCGATCAGTTTACAAATAAGTCCTCGGTCCTCAATTACTGCTGGGTGAATAGAGGCAAACGGTTAAGGATTTGTGCCTAGCCTACCCTCTCTGTCCAGGGCTTTAGGCAGGCCAAAATTGTTTGCGAAGCCTGGGGCAAGTGTGCTACCACCGTGCCACAGGGACCTAATGTGTCTCCCTTTGGGCATAGTCAAATAATTTCTGTCTTTGTGTTTCTGTTGAGTTTGCTTCCTCTTAAAATCATAATTTAAATTTTTCATGTTTCTCTTATAATCTTACTTTTGTATTAATTTATTTCACATTTATTTAAATCTTTAACATATTTTAAATTCATTTATATTTTACATATAAATAAAAAAAAGTCAAAGTATATTTTATTCATTGTGCTTGTAATACACTTGCTATTGTGTAGACTGTGATGAGACATTATGGTTTGTATACTGTTTACAGTAGTTATGCGCAGAGTGCTAATACTTTGGCGGTCTTGGCCTCTCTGCTCATTCTCAACCATAAACGTTCTGAGTTCCCCAGGCAGCTCAGTGATGTAAAAAATGTTTACAAGGTTTTATGTTTTTTAAGTTATTTGTTGAGTTAAAGCAATAAAGCTGTAAATTTGGTGTCAAAATGTTCATGAATGCATTCTCTTGAGAATAGATGCAAAAACAAAAGTGCATTATAACATTATGCAGAATAGCAATGTAAATACAGATGTTTATGAATACCAATCTAATGACATGTTTTAGCGTCATAGAAACCTTTACTGACGGAACAAAGATGACACGTTTTGGCATCATCGGAACGCAAACGTGTTAATTAATAAGTTAAGATAATGTTATAAAACAGTTCTGATACTCGATATGGATGTGGTAACAGCTTTTTCAGAATTGAGTGATTTATATTATTTATAATTGATATTATAACATCCTCACTTGGTTTTTCTTCTCCCTGCAGGAAGCTGTGGCACAGATGAGGTGTCTAATTTAGTTATCCCTTGCAACATTGCTAGTTAGCTCTAATAACATTGATGCTTGTACTGTAACTTAACTCGTGCTGTAGTATTGCGATTGCCAAGGCATCTTTTATGCTCGTCCAGAACGTGGTAGTTCTCACGTTTTACTTTGAATTTATTTAACCCTCTATTGGTTTTATTTAACATTTGACTAGTACATTATTTAATGGCAGTATTTGACTGCCTTTATTTTTGTATTTTATACAGTAGTGAGTGTTGTGACTGATTCCCTTTTTTGCCGTTTGACTAATTGCTCAATATACTTTACTGTTCAGTGCAACCTCCAAAATCTGGACTAGGATTTGATCTTGCTCAAATGAATTATATTGGGTGGTCCCAGTTTATAGCATCAGATACATCCTTTAGCCCAATCCCTCCCTTTCTCACCTTTTTTTTTTTTTTTTTTGGAGGGGTTAAAAATAATGAACTATACTTACAATATGTTATTAGTGTGTGTTTTAAATATTGTTGGAGCTTGTGAGTTGGCTAGCGATTGACAGATCGGAGCTTGTTAAGTCTCCAGTTATTAATTTTAACATTTGCTGGATAGCTGATTAACTGAATTGGTTGGCTTACTATTTTATAACTTCTAATGTTGACTGACCTGCTGATCCAACTTGACTGCCTGTTTTATCTGTGCCTGACTGTCCTTACATGCCAGCCAGGCTGGCAAGCTGACAGACAGACAGGCTGGCAGGTAGGTAGGCAAGCTGCCAGGCTACGGGAGCCTGACAACTGAATGGACAGCGCTTCGGATTCGTAGTCCTGTTCAATCCCCGGTTTAGGCGGAAACAAAGGGGCAGAGTTTCTTTCACCCTAATGCCCATGTTATCTAGCAGTAAATAGGTACCTGGGAGTTAGACAGCTGCTATGGGCTGCTTCCTGGGAGGGTGTGTAACAAAAAGGAGGCCTGATCGAGGACCAGGCCGCTGGGATGCTAAGCCCCGAGATCATCTCAAGATTATCTCTCAAGATAACCCTTGTTACTTATTTCAAGTTCCTTTCAGTAAGAAATCATTGATTGTTTGGGACTGAATAATATCTTGCAATCATCTTTAATGCAATGTCAGGATTTTACAGTAATTGAACATATAAATTATTAAAAAAAAAACTACTGGGATCATGTAAACTATCTTGTTAGCAAATTCCTACTGCTATTTGGGGGGTTTGCAGAACAGGAGTCATGATTGTGGGGGTTGCACTATTGTTTTTGTAACTTAAATGTTGGGAGAGTTATCCTTCATACTTTTTAATGTACTGTACAATAGTTCAGGGTTTTGTTTGAGCTAATAGATTTTGTATTTGGTAAGTTGAACTAAAATTATTTTATCTAATATCACAACATTTTGACTGAGATAATTTTTAAACTATTTAATTTGGATGCTCTCCAGGACAAGATCATTAAATTTCCCACTGGGCTGGACCATGAAAGTTTGTGCAATGTGACATAGTTAAGTCTGTTGTTGCATCAGCTCAACAGTGATGAGAATTTGACGAGGCTGGCATGGGTCTTGCCATCTGGTGTCAGCCAGGTGTTGTAGCTTGGAAAGACATTTGAGTATTTGAGAGACTTTCTTTAGTCCCTCTGAGCTGAAGGTTTCCTCTCGTGTGTCTCTAGATCCATTATGACCTGATGATGGGATACTTTAAATGATCCTTGTTGTCAACTACTTGAACTTTCATGATCCTTTCTAGAAAGTTCAGTAATCTTGCCTTAGGAAGTATCAAAGTATCGTGATCAGACTGGGACTTTTCATATTCACTCAAAGGCAAATTTGTTCATGTCCATATGATGATTGGGCGTAGCCAGATAAATAATTACTGACATACTACAGTACTGTATTCATTACTGATCCAGATATGTAATGTTTACCAATAAGTATTTAACCACTGGACTGCTTCGGCCGACAATACCCATGGCAGGAATAGCGCAGGCCGAGAAAACACGAATTTAAGATTTTGTACCATTCAAAACGCGTGCGCATGTTAGGTTGGATACGAAATGGACTCTTGGAACCTTCAGTAAGAGGCAGCCATCTTGAAAAAAATTCCCAGAATGCTCTAGGGCTGCTGGCTGGTTCAGTTCTGAGTGAGCAACCATGTATGATGGGCACACGTCTGGCTCGCAATCCCCTGTTAGACGCTTTGTTGAAGGATTGTTCTGTCAGTGAAATTCAGACCTTATTGTTTGAAGAACATAAGGGTTATGATATTGATGAAGCTAGGCTCAAAAAGGACTTTACACGAGGGGTCGGATTCAAGTGATAGAGCACCGATGAGGACGATACAGCGAGCATATCCAGTAGTGGCTGAGAACCACCCATGTCATCTCTAATTTTTATAGATGATACTATTGATGAATCATTTTCTGGGTTCAGTGATGATGCGTCTGATACAAGTAGCATAGATGAACAGTGTGTTAGCGGCTTCCATGGTGGTGTTTATTGCCAGTGGTGGTGGTAGCAATACAAGGAGCATGGGTGAATTTGCAAGGGAGGACTGTGATAATTGTGTAACACACAAACCACAATTTGATGATTCTGGTGTTTGTGTTGCACCCACTTTCCCATATACAGGTGACGATTTGAATGGTACCAAGACAGATATGAAATACAAGATACCAGGACAGAATTTTGTCATTGAGCTTTTCCTAGATATTTTCAAGAATATCTGGATCTTTTCAATCCTACCTTACAAAGCGATTGTTTCAAGAATATCTGGATCTTTTCAATCCTACCTTACAAAGTGATCTTTTCAAGACTACATTACAAATTGATCTTTTCCTATAATCTTTTCAAGACTACCTTACACTTCACAAGCTTGGCTACATACCACCTACAGGTACTAAAGCCAAGGGTGCACGTGAGTGCATTGTTTGCAAGTACGTAGAACAAAGAAACAGGAATCGAAAATCTGTTTGTTCCTGGTGCATCAAGTGCGAAGTATAGCTCCAGGGAACCTCCGGGTCTCACTCAGAAAATGTTGTTTCATTACATTCAAAGTTGGATTTTTCTAATTCTGTTTGTACAACAATGACACCACACTCAACTAAATAATTAATAACTTCAAAACTATTATGCTGGAAGTGCCACATAGCAATGTATTTTAATAAGCACCCCAAATAGTTTTTCCAGACTTTTATGTCTTGATAATTACATGCTGAAATGTAACCCTATGCCTATATTTAAGACAGCTTGTTGTTGGACAGTAATCAAATTACATAAGAGGCTTGGTGCTTTCTCCTGATCCCTTCCCAAGCAGTGCTAGTGGCATGTCGGGACCGTTTGCTAGTCAATTTCAGCATTTCAGTTAGTGTTTTAGGCTATGTTTAAAGTATTCTGTAAAAAGACATCTTTTTTTATTTGAAGGAAAATTGTAATTTACATCTGTACCCTCATGGTGCAGTGCCTTCGAACAAGCAAATTTATTTCCATTTTAATGTAGTTAAAAATATTACTGTCATTTAGTAATAAGGATAAGGCTACTCAACAAAAAAAAGGTAAGCAAAAAATGTACAGTATTTACTTTTTTATATTGTATTTAAAAATATCCATGTTTATATACCTTTCAGTGTACATGTATAAATATGCAGAAGTTTAAATATCATTTAAGGTAAACAAAATATAATAGTACACAGACTACTCACTGATTTGTGCCTCGGTAACTTGAATCGTGGGGTAACTTGAGCAAAATTGTGACCAACTCTTAACTCATGATTTGGACAAAATCTGAATTACAGAGCTAAGCTACCATGATACTGAATGACAAGCAGCAGCTTATGTTTGCGAATACTTTCCATACATTAAAACTTTTTTCTAATAAAATAAAAATAATTGTAAGCTATTGATTGTTAAAAATACTGTACGTGTATGTCCTTGCTAAAATTGGTGGAGCCTTCTTGACCCTGTGAGCTAGACACATGTTCTTATGTGACAGTTGTGTGACACTCCATATCTGAAGGATTTTTCTTCACCTGCCTGTTGTAGGGAAGCAGAGGAGAACCACTGAGGCTGGGGCCCATAAATGGTGTGTTCATTGTTCTGAAATAACACCCCTTTTTCTGGGGTCTGCCTCATTAGCTCCCTGTTCTCATCTATTCTTTCTTTCTTCCTGTGGTGGTAGATTGATCATGGGCTAGTGTGTGTGGTGGGCCCCACACCTGGACTGGTTGTAGAGCTGACTGCCACGTCTCTGTGGATGGTGGAGTTACTTGATGCTCTAGCTAGCTTATATCTATTTTATTTTTATTTTGTTTTGTTTAGGTTGGTAGTGCATAAAGCAGGCCACAAGAATAAAGGAAGAGGTGGGGGTTTGACCATTGTTGGATCTCTTGTTCACCACAAGAGAATTTCCAAAGCAGTTGCCATTATAAAATATTAAGAATGCTGTAATGTATTCCTAAAAATCTTCATTTAAATATTCTCCTTTTCATGTATATTGCAAATTGTTTTATTATAATACCTTATTTCAGGTTCCCCGTTACACCACAGTGGGAGTAGCATAGAAGGCACAGCGCTTAGTTTGAGTCGATTACAGCTCCATCCCCCATCTTCACCCGCCGGGCCTCGCAGCCCATCACATCGCCAGTCGCCTCCACTAGTTTTGTCTCCTCAGCCTTCATCCCCAGTATCTTTGTTAAGTCCAGTTGCACCTCTGTCACCACCTCCACCTGGCCTTATACCACGGTCGGGGCCCTCGCCCCCACCTCTTGGGTTGGACAGTATTAGAGAAGAACCTCCAAGAGGATGCCACATGACCCATCGGATACCTCGGAACACCCACACCTTTACTCAGAACCCCCAGATCTCTATAACTGATGAGAGTGGAGGTCAGGTGATTATTGGTTCCTCATCAGACTCTTCACCAGATGTGTCAGATGACATGGATTCTTCACCATTTCCTTCCCCTCCAACTTCTGACCACATCACTTTATTTCCTCATCTATCTCCTCAGCGGTTATCGAAAGGCTTAAGTTTAGACTCTTCACCGTTACCATGTGTTGGTCAGTACGATATTCAAGGACCATCCATAACACGGGGAACAGCTGGTATTTTTGCATCACGAAGAACAACAACAACAGACAACAACAATGTTCATAGAGCTCGCAATGAACGTAACTTGGTGCGGCAAAATGCAATTACAGCAACCCCACGTAACCACATGTTTATTACCAGCATGGAATTCAGACACAGTTTCCCTCCATTCCATAATGGAGGAATGGGTGAAAGTGATACAGAAATGGCAGACATTAGTCCTTCAGGGGAGCGATCACCGTTAGTGGAGCGTGGTATCATAGAATTGGAATTGCCTAAGACAGGAAGTGGTTCTTTCTTATTGACCCTTCCAACTAAATGGTCTGGTATGGCACAGGAAGAGTTAGTAGGAAGTATAATGCATATTCTTGAGAGGCGAGCTCCTTCAATTGTCCGAGAGGGGGTTCGAGACTCTGGCCTCTCTATAAGGGACCCAACGGGAGCCCAGGTGGACTTGGAAGTGCATGAAGGGTCTGTGGCAGACTCACCTGCCCTAAAGATGCGCAGAGTGTCTGGGGATGAGGACCAGTATACACAACTCTGCCAGCAGCTAATTGAGTGCATGACAACCTAACATTGACTAGAGTTAATTGTGTGCATGATATGGAAGTATTTGTGTATACAGATACTTCAGAATGGATTGTGTGCAATTGTCAAAGTGTGTTGAAGTCAGGAAATAGAAGCCCCAAGTAGTTTATGGTAAGGCTTGTTTTCCTTATGACAACACTTGATGCAGCCCCCTTAATGCAGCGTTTGTTTTCCTATTCACAATTCTGGACACAAACCTATTGTCTTCACTATTTAAGGCTTCAACTTTCTGATTGCAACACTTATTGACTTGTTTATTTGCTGTACAGTGATAGTAAATGCCATTTCTAATCTCTCTAAATAGACAGGAAAATTTAAAGCAAACTAGCTTTTTGTTACTTCTTTTTTATTTGACCTTTGTTATATAATATTGAAATAATGGAATATTATTACTGTGTTCTCGAAGTTTACATGGGTACTTTACGGCCTGTCTGTTTGGTATCATTTATTCGTTATGTTTGTGTATGTATGTTTTTACATTATAGAAATGTATTTCACATTTAGATGTTAAAATAGTTATTAAGGATTTCTCAGTGTCTTTCAGGATTTACAGCCATCATTTTCTTTTTAGAGTCTAACTAAAAATGACATTATTGAACAGAGCAGAAATATCTGCATCTTAAGTGCGAATTATATCCATTTCATTCTCTACAAGTTGCCTTCTGGACTGCATTCCATTGTTGTGGTTATTCTACTCCTTATTCAGATTTCATGTATATCAAATGCCAAAAGTATGCAGGAAATATAAAGGCTTCATTTTTTTTTTTTTTAAATGCAATCTCAAAATTAAAAAACTGGGATGCCCGTGGTACAGTATTCATTATGCTTGGAAGTTGTTAATATTCTGGTGCCACTGGGTTCATTGAGATTGCCACACACTTTAACAGTCGTGTGGCATCAGATGATATTTCAGCTGCAGGGTCTAACTGTTCGTTAGGTGGTTAACACTGCAGGTTTACTTTCTCTGTTGAGGGGGTCTAGTGTTACATTATATTCATTGTACACTGAACTCACAAAAGTGTGATGAATGAGAAATATTATAAAATGGGTGGGAATTGAACATGCATCTCTGGACTCCCCAGAATATATTTTTCTCGTACAGTATATTAATTTTCTTCATGGACCAGAGGTCATTATTTTATGGCATAAAGGTCATGCATTGGTGCTTTTGGCGTTTATCAATATAAAACCTGATTACCTCAATTCAGTTTGGCTAAAAGAAGCAAAATGATTAGATGGGGAAAAGTAAAATCTATCTTGACAGTGTTTGGCTGAGTGTGTATTAAGTATCAACTCTATTATCGCTCCTGTAATGAAAACATTTAATTGGAGGGAAATGGGTAAAAATTGTGGGAGGAACATTTTCATTATGGTGAATTTAACTAACTTCTATATTAGCATGAAGTGAAACAAGCCTTTAAAATACAAATAATAGAAATATACTTATGTTCCACACATGTTCAGCATACGAGACTAGTTATGTTTATGTCACGGACTTGGCCAGAAGACTTGCCTTTATATTTCCACTGCTTATGGAAATGCCCCTCAAAGTGCCAACTAAGTATTTCCTCTGGGTATCACCTAGCTGCAACTGCACGAACCTAAAGGCAATACAGTCAACCCTCTTTAATCCAACACACTTAAGGATATTACAGTCTTGCTTTCTTCCATGGCAATAAAATAATGGAATTAGATATTTAATTGTATGGTAACAAGACATTGGCCACCCTTTCCAAACAAATTTGTTATTTTATTTTTTTAAAAAGCTATTTATATTAAACTTCAAAAAATATTAATTTTTATAGTGTTGGAATAAATGAGGGAAGACTACCCCTTGCTGATCCTGGCAACTTTCAAGACTTGGTGCTACTGGAGAGGATTAGGACTGATATTGGTGAGCATTGGGTCTTTGTGTACAGTCTTCCTGGTATTGCTAATTGCATCACTTTAGCTAATCTTAAAATTTTTGTTGAACATCTTGCAAATCATTGTGAAAATCACAGGAGGTATTTTCATTGGTGGTTACTTAATCAGTTTTCAAAATATTTCTGTGATTTAATACAGTACTGAGAAGTATAATGGTTTTGATGAAGATGTAACAAAATGTGATCAAACATAACTACTAAAAAAATTTACTTATAATCTAATATCAACAAATCTTTATTTTTGTATAATGAGTGTTGCCAAAACTTCATAGCACAAAAGTTGTTTCTTTCTACATTGTCTCCACTTTGACTTTCCCTTCTATATATAACTGGTGAGCTGAAGCCGTCACAAGAAAATTGGAATTAAAATTCGGCTGTTATTGGAATCAATTTACTGATAACTTGATTATTATAATATGAAATATTCCAAAATCACAGAGAATGAAGAGAATTGTGGAGAGTTCACTATGAGTTTAGTGCCTCAACTATATATATTGAGGTTTAGTGTATTTTAAGTGCTTTAGCTTGGCGCTTTCTTTTGGTAATTATGGTAGGTACTTTCTTAAAAGTATTTTTGAGCACTGCCCGGCTTTAAATGATAGTTTCTTGAGATGAATGGAAATTAATACCATTCATTTTTCATGACTGCTCTGAATTCTAGAATCTATTAATTAGCAAATAAGCTGCTTGAGTAAATAGCTGTTGGAAAGTCATCATTTTGGTAAGTAAACAATTATAAAGTACAGCATATCAAGTTGGAACATGGACGGCAAGAGGCATAGTTACTGTATAATCCAAGTTGTGTATGGTTTGAGACGAGGTCTGCTGCAAGAGCAAAATATGTCTCGTGCTAGTTGGGAGCTGGCTTTCATGAAAATTTAAAATTATACATCAGACCCGCTTTTGAAAAAGTACATTTTTAAAGCCTTATGTTTTCTATGAAGAACCCCTAGACTAAGCCAAACCTGCAGTGTGTGTGTGTGAAATAGAATATTAAATTTGCTCCTTGTAGAATTTGTAGATGCTACAAGTGTAAATAATGACATTGTGTTCAGTATGAGGGGGAAAAAAATGAATTTAGGAAGTAAACACTCAAAGTAAAGTGCAGATGAGAAAACCTGACAAATGAAATATTGCCGTGATTACTTGTACTGTATCTAGATCTGGCCCGAAGAACCTCTGACCTGCATTGCATTTCAATCTTGTCTGCATAATATATTCTTTAGTGTATAATGTAGCTACAGTATTACACTATGTATGAATATTAACCTGCACAAAATTTATTTACTAGACTATTCTAACTTGTGTGATCGTCACAAGTGGTTGATGGACTCATTTAGAAAAGAAATGATCCAGATGTGATGTGCTAGGTAGAGGATTCCTGCGTTTAATATACACACGTACCAGATACTAAGGAGAATAAACAAGGTGGACAAGGATACCCAGTTTTGAATGAAAGTAAGTACGACACGAGGACACACTTGAGTAAAAAGAGATACAAGGAAATAATCATTCTGTGAAATGGTGGTCAGCAAATAGAATGTATAGAAAGTTGTTGTTATTGAAGTCAATTTGAAGAAAAGTTAGTGCACCAAGTATAAAAGACTAGGAGGCAGGACATACAGCTAAATCTCATTTCCCATAGTCACTGGTAGATAGCATAGTTGATGAAGCAATTGGCATAAGTGTAAACTGGAAAGTTGAGTGTATAAACAATACACTATATAATTTGTATTGTTTTAAAGTGACAATTTTTTCAATTTAATTTCTTAATATGTACTGTACAGTATATTTTTAATGAGAAGTGTTAAATTCAGTATTTTACTTGAACAATATGTATTAAGAAATTATAATTATTGAGCTTTTTTTTTTTTGTGAGAAAGCTTTGAAAAATTGTTATACAAAGTCACATTAGCCATCCTGATAAAAAGCTGATGTTTTCCAGTTGTATTAATCCGGTGAAAATCTGCACCTGCAAAGTTAATGTATATATCTGTCACTTTTGTTAAATTCATAAACTTTCAATGATGTGTAATAACAAAATTTGCACAGGATTATTAGAAAATAGTTTTTACCCAAATTCTGACATTTTATACATTGTGTGTATAAACACTTGTGTATGTAACAATATCCAATATATATTTTTATAATTTAGAGCTGGTTGGTATTCAGAGAAAAGTATTACAAAGATAGTACTCACGATGTAATCCTGGTCTATTTGATATTTCTCCTATTTTATCTTTTCTAGATTTAGGAACATTTTACATTTTTCCCCTATTATTTGAACAGTGTGATTATGCAAGTGACAAATGATAGTTTCACATTTTTTGTGTAATAAAGTACTGTACACAGTTTGATAAGGATGGCAAATTAGGCTTTCCGTTGATTACTCACTGTACACAAAAACTCAAGGCTAGGCCAAAACCTGAACTACTGTACTCTTCTTATGTACTTGCATATGTTTGAGCTGCTCTCCGTCTTCTTCACCTTGTTTTTCCTCTTGCTTCATTTGACATTGTTGTGTATGTGGAGCAAAATTATAAGTCTGCAAATGTCATTTTTTTTTAATCATTGCTCTGCAGTATATTTAGATACGTCATCTAAACTGATGTCTCGGGTATCCGGGATCCTCTTGGTAGACATTTTAATCTTGTTGGACATCATCTTTTAAGTTTGTATGATGTCTCTCATTTAAAGTTCTCCTGTAATGGAGATATGTATAAAATACTTGATACGCTTGAATTAAGTCCATTAGCACCCGATGTCCCACAAGATGAAGATTTGTACCAATTGTCGTTGCCTTGGTCGGGAATTGTAGTTCACCGAGACCTGGTAGAGTGGGTCCATTTTATCTAGTCATGGAGTGCAGAGGGTGAGGTTCTGCACTCCCATCATTCCATTTCTTCATCATTCCCAGTCATTGTGTTTTGCATCAACGGTCTTACACGTTTATATATACTGTACTGTACATGCTTCTATGCTTTATCTACTGTTACACGTTTGTCACATTATGGAGGAGTTTGTGACTTTTTTCCATTATATTTTACATAAAAAGATTAGCTGTATTGCATAACTTTTCATTTCATTTGATTCATTATGCTAAGTATTTTTACAATATGTTACTGTACATTGTTATGTGATGTGTTTTATGTTTCCTTTGCCTAGTATCATTTTTAATTTAAAATATTTTAACTGAGCCACTTCAGAAAGTTAGAAGACTTCTTTATTTAATTATATGTACATTTCTACAATTTGATGATTTGATGGTGTGATTTTATATACTGTATGTATATATGTATAATATATATATATATATATATATATATATATATATATATATATATATATATATATATATATATATATATATATATATATATATATATATATATATATATATATATATATATATATATATATATATATATATATATATATGTCGTACCTAGTAGCCAGAACTCACTTTTCAGCCTACTATTCAAGGCCCGATTTGCCTAATAAGCCAAGTTTTCCTGAATTAATATATTTACTATAATTTTTTTCTTATGAAATGATAAAGCAACCCTTTTCTCTATGTATGAGGTCAATTTTTTTTTATTGGAGTTAAAATTAACGTAGATATATGACCGAACCTAACCAACCCTACCTAACCTAACCTAACCTATATTTATAGGTAAGGTTAGGTTAGGTAGCCAAAAAAAGCTAGGTTAGGTTAGGTTAGGTAGGTTAGGTAGACGAAAAAACATTAATTCATGAAAACTTGGCTTATTAGGCAAATCGGGCCTTGAATAGTAGGCTGAGAAGTGCGTTCTGGCTATTAGGTACGACATATATATATATATATATATATATATATATATATAATAACAAAACATCTTTTGTTTGGAGAGACACACACACACACACACAGTAAGCACCTGTTGATTCAATGTATCCCTTGTTCATAAACTGCCTTATTCATGACTATTGAATTTATGCCATAATATTTTTAATTGACAATTATCACCTACAAGTACACAATTGGCTACCCTCTTGAAGGGGTAGCTTATTCTCATTGGGAATAAGCCATCAGAGATATAGATAAAATGTATGTACAAAATTTGCACATAGCAGGCATGCCAGTTGACCAGTTTATAATTAGTTTGGCGCTCATCAGGGCTTGGTTTGCTTCCACATTCACTTCTCTCTGTTTACAGGCATTATATATAGTGTTTTAATTACTGATTTGGAGGCTTATTCAAATATCCAGGGTGCCATGAAGGTAATAGGAATCCATGGGGAGCTTTTGTCGTGAGAGAATTGGTGAGTACGTGGTGTCTTTAGTACACCAGTACCAGTACACTGTTCGGGATTGGAAGCCTGTTGGTTGATTTCAGTCCCCTTTGCCAAGCGTGAGGCTGTTCATGCTGTCACCCACCCAATTGCTGGCCAGAGATAACAAAGCTTAACTGGAACTTTTGGAGGAGTGCTTCCCTGCTCTGGAAGGAGTATTATTGATGTGGACTGAAGATTATCTAAGACATAATAAAAGGCAAATTGATAGAAATTCTTAAACATTGCCAAATTCCTGTTCTTCAGAAAAGTGTGTTGTATAGTTTTAACCCTTTTGCATTTTATTTTATTTATTTTTATTTTTTAAATAATGCAAAGAAAGTAGGCCTATAATGCAACATGACTCCATATAGCTGAAATGGTGGTGTATGGAAAGAGAGTGCGAAAATTAGAGCATAAAAAAAGAGAGAGAGATGATTTCATACACTTAAGTCACAAATATTTTTTTTGTAAATTAGGAGTATTTTGGCTTGGATAAACTACATACAGTGGTACCTTCGTTTACGATTTTAATCCATTCTAAGAGATGGATCGTACATCAAAAATTTTCCCATAAGAAATAATATCAATTGAATTAATCCGTTCCACACCCCCAAAAATATTAACTTAAAAATACATTTTATACAGAATACTACTCATATTTTTTAATATACCTTACCTTTATTGAGGACTCTTGTTGGTGTATGGAAGACAGTTGGAGGAGGAGAGGTGTTTGTGTTTGGAAGGGGAGACCCCTTCCATTGTAACATCAGGCAGTGATGTCATTTCTGGGGTACTCTCCTACATTCTGCAGGCATACCACTAGGTCCTGGTTGTGACTCACTGCATGTTTGTCTTACTAAGAATCTGTCTAAAGACACAGGTTTTTCCCTACATTTTAACACTTGCCTGTAGTGAGACAATACAGTCATTCACTATGATATCTTGTTTTTCCTCTTATCGTCATCCTCACAACTATTTTCTTAGGTTGAACTTTACCACTGACTTTCTTGGGACCCATGACGTGATATATAATAAAAACGCTTATGTTCAGAAACCAAAAAGCAGAAAAATAATGAAAGTCAATATAAGAATTGGCAAAGAATTTAAGCACGGTCGTCACTAGGTGGGATACACTGGTAAACTGAGTGCCTTGCCCGCACCCAGCAGCACCACTCGCTTGCTCAACCCATTCAGGAATCAACAGCTGAATCGTATTCTAAGGCATACATCATATACCAATTAAAATTTTACGCGGCATTTGACGTATACCAAAAAAAATCTTAATCTAGGGCAGTCGTAAACCAAGGTATCACTGTATTTTATGAATAAGTTAATTTTCTATATTCAATTCAGTGTTGCTCTGATGGGTTAATTCTTTGGCTCACCAACAATAGCAATTCTCCAAGTGTTTCACCATTCTGTATTTCAGTACAGTATTTGTCAATTCTTGTTAGTTTTCTGATCCTAGATAATAGAACAGATCTTTGAACATATATATATACCTCAGAATAACAAATAAACAGTACATTGTAAATAACCTGGAACGTAAAACAGGAAGTAACTTGCATTGTATTCGCCTTGGATGTGACCTGGCTTGTCATCGTTAAGCTCTGAAGATGGAATATGGATAGTGTGTGCAGAAGTACTTTATGCAATATAAAACAAATACTGTACTGCATAAAATGACACTACTACAGTATTGCATATGCTACTTGCAAGCAGTCTCCTCTAGCAACTCGTGTATTGATTTCTTGAGCATTTGACTCTGGAGCTGCTTTAATCTCTTTGAGTTGCTCATTCTTCAAAATCTATTTAATAACTAAATAACCAAACCACCTCATATGAAATTAAAATCGTAATGTTTGTCTGCCCTGTAAAACTTCAATGCTACTTAGTTTAGCTTTGAAGTTTTAAATGATAACAAAAATTGATCTTTTACAAAAATTGATTGAAAGATAGTTATGATAAGGGTACAGCCACAATTTGTAAAAAAACTAATTGCACAGTTGTCGGTAGGAGTTCAAGTAAATTAAAACTGCAGTCAGTATAAGTTATTAGTAGTGTATATGAAATAGGGGTAATGCTGGTTCATTGAGATATCTTGTTGAGGCTTGTTCTATATTGTATGTTCTGTTTCACCTGGAAGCAAATTCTTAATCTGGTTTTTACCCTGTTTGTAGATCAATCCACAACTGTTGGAGAGGGAGAGGTGCTTAGGTTCTGTGAGCAACAAATTAATTACTTTACCATCAAATGTGATGTATTTTCATGGCTTTCCTATCATCAAAATAGGAAGTGGGAGACATGTATTGTCTTGGTCACATATTAACCACACATAATTATTGGAATAGACATGTCTTATGTCTTGATGTCAGAACTGTATTGTTCCACTTATAGTCACTAATCTGGTGGAATGTTTTGATTTTCAGAATGATTTGGAAATAATTTTCCTGCTGTTTTTATACACTATATATCCCTCTATAAAATTGTCGGTGAATCTGACCCCCACCTTTAACACCACTCATCTTGTATCTCCCTGCCCTTGTACTGGTATCGTGAATGATCTATAGGACCTCTTGATGATTCTGTAACACACACAGTGCTATATAGTCATTCTGGCATAGTGCTTTCTTTTAATATTTACTTGTTTACCCGACAGCCTCGCGAGGGCTTCGGCTTGCTGCATTCCGCCCAAGCAAGGTTAAACTTTCCAGTACACCTGTACATGGCATGCTGTATAAGGAGTAAGGCATTGCTTGAAATCTATTAAAGTTGGAAATAGGCTTAGAAGTAACCTCATAAGCAGACTGCAGATACAGTACATGATCTGTCAAAGCAAACAAGTTAAGAAGCTAAATATAATTTATATTTTAAGAAGTAGCTGCCTGCACTTGTATAAAGAAATTATGTACTGGAATAGACAACGCCATGGTTAAAATAATGCTAGGAGAGCTGTCCCAGAGAGAATATTCTCAAAGAATATTATGAATGGAATGCCATAGGGATTCATCTTGTGGCCAACTCTTATTTTGTAACCTATGCAAATGATACAGTATTAATGATGTCATAAGTCACATTCTGAAATCTGGAAATGATTCAAAGAGCTATTGGAAAGCTAGAAGTAAAGGTGACATTTTGTCCTTACAAAATGACTTGTACAATATGTCTTAGGACCTAGGACCTTATATCTTGGGAACTCTTAGGTCCCTACACCTAAGAGGTCTAGGGACTGGCAAATGCAGTTCTTTGTAAAAATCTGCATCACAGTTATAGTGATAACATGATTATAGAATGGGGAAAATAAAAAACTTGGCAGGATTATCGTCCAATCATTGAGAGTTGTCCACCAAGTTAGAGCTGTCACTAAAATTCCAAAATTGAAGTAGCAAATGAAATTTAAAAAGCAGTCGTATACTGCTACAAATCCCTTTCGTGCTCAATCCTTAACTACTGTTAAGTATTGAGAAATCAACTATAAAAAATTAATGCAATACTGGAAACAAATTGCACAAACATTTTCCAAGAATGTTAACTTGTATGCCAAGAAGGTGAAACCCTACAGGACTGGCAGCTGCTAGCAAAACCACTTTCAGACAAAAAAAAATCAAGCTAACCGAACCTTTGTGCAAAAGATAAAAAGATAATAGGAGACTTTCTCACTCAAATGGTAATAAACTTGTGGAGCATCCTACTCGCCAAAGCCATACATACAGGGCTATAGTTACAATTTCACTGTAGAGCTTTGGTAGGAAGAAAGGGGGTTGCTTCACAAGGCACTTGCTTCCTACACAATAATTGCCCACTAAATATAGTGATCAACA